TCTTGATTCATATGTATACATTATTTTTACATATTTAACATTATACTTTGCCATACCAAAACAAAATCCTCCCAGCCTTTTGTAAAGACAGCATGGCATTCCATAAATTTGAAATAACCATCATAGAAATAGCTTTGCCTTCCATCTGGTTAGGTAACATTGCTAATTTCTCCCATCCTTAAATTCCACTGCAATGAGCATCACTCTTTCTAACAACTTTTCCTGTTTGAATATTGTTGCTTGGATGAGTTTTGAAAATGGGATTAAAGGGGCCAAAGGGTATGTACCTTTCCACGACTCTAAAAATACTGGCCACCCTGGCTGGTTGGCTCAGTGGATTGAGTGCTGGCCTGTGAGCCGAAGGGTCACCAGTTGGATTCCCAATTAAAACACGTGCCTGGATGCAGCCCAGGTGCCCAGTAGGGGGCGCATGAGAGGCAACCACACATTGCTGTTTCTCTTCCTCTCTTTCTCCCTCCTTTCCTCTCTCTCTAAAAATAAATAAAATCTAAAACAAAACAAAACAAAGCAAAACCCCCTGACCATTACCTTCTGAAATCATACACCAATGTCTGCTGCACTAGTGCTCAGATGTGTGTTCCTCTCTCACCCATTGTCCTTGCCCTTGAACCCCACTGGACTCAGAATGTGAGGGCAGGGAAAGGCAGGCAAGTTCATAAAATGGAAAAATGTCATTGAAATGAACACTCAGCTCCTCCATTTGCTAGGAGAATTGCCCTAGCGATTCCTTAACTTTTTTGAACATTATTTCTGGAAGATGGGGATAATTATACCTATCACTTAGGAGGTTCTTTTCAGGATCAAGCAAAGTATGAAATGGTCTTCTCACAGGGCCTCTCAGTACAGTCACTATTCAGTGAGCCAATCTGGTTGTTTTAAAAAAGCTCATTGATTTCATTCAGATTTCTCTGCAGGAGTAGGAACATGTTTAATCATGTTTATTTGATAGATTAACCACGTTTTATTTAGCAGATTCTAAGTCGTACTTTTTAGCGTTTCTGGAATCAGACTGCGTGATTAAAGTTCAGGCGGATATTTACTGTGGTAGCATTCCTTTGTTTTCCTTGAAAAGTTGTTATTCTTTGTTCCATCTTCCAGTGCCTTAGAGTTGGGAAAAAATGTGCATTCTTGCTCATCTAAATGATGTGTTTATTATCTCTTGTTCATTTATTTAGTGATGTCTTGATGGCTTTTCTTATTACTTTGCATGAGCTCCAAAAAGAGCATTAGTTTCTCCTATTTACTGCTATTATTTTATTCTTAAAAAAAAAAAGGCCTATATGTGAGGTGGGATAAGCAAGAACTTACCGAACTGAATGTGCTTGAATCTGCCAGTTTTTTTCTCCGTGTGATTTCTTTTATCATTCCTCCTCAGATCATAGGTTGGCTGTTATTTGACTTCCTGTTATTTTTTCTTATAGTTTTTCCAAACGATGTTGGAATCGACCTTTTTTAGGTCTCTGCCCACCCCTCTGGACTCAGAGATTCAAGGGCAAGGAGTGGGTGTTATTTAATTACAAGGCAATAAGCATTCAGTAGATGCTAAATGAACAAATATATTTACATCTGGTCCACAGGAGGTAATTTTTAAAAAGGATTTTATTTACTTATTTTTAGAGAGAAAGGAAGGGAAGGAGACAGAGGGAGAGAAACATCACTGTGCAAGAGTGAAACAGTTGCCTCTCACACGTCCCCAACCCGGGGCCTGGCCTGCAACCCAGGCACGTGCCCTGACTGGGAGTCGAATCAGTGACCTCTCAGTTTGCAGGCCAGCGCTCAGTCCACTGAGCCGCAGCAGCCAGGGCCACTGGAGGTAATTTAAGGTGAGCCCCTGAAGCTCCTCCTTCCTACTCTCACCAAAAAAATGACTAATTTTCCTAATAATCATCAAGCCATCAGTACCATGCCCATTGGTTTGTGACAGCATTCCAGCGACCTGCTTCCCGGGCACCACGGACACCTCATCGCTGCTATTTTCACGTCTCTGGCTACTCATTTCCTTGTCTGCCTGAGTGCAGGCACCACAGCTTGTTCTGTGTCTGAGACTGGTTAAGAATAGATGGTAGAGGGAACTGATCCATTAATGCAGGGTGAATTCTTCAATTCATTTGAGCCTGTTTCTTGGTTTCCTGGCCAGTTTTTTTAGGCACCCAGCACTCTGCTAGGCTGAATGATAAAAATGAAAGCAGTGCCCGAGTTCTCGTGCCCCTGTTCTGGCGGGGCAAGCAGGAGAGCGAAGAGGTTGTTTTAGCGGCATACGCTGTGGTGGGGTCTGTCAGGCTTCCCTGAGAGTACAGAGGAAGGACTGCTGGGCCCGTCCAGGGGCGAGTCAGAGAAGCCTTCCTGGAGGGGAGATGTCTGAGCCAAACCTCAGAGGGTGAACGGGGGTTAGCCAGACGGGGGAAAGGAGAAGGGTGTTTGCTTGCTGGGGAAGTGCCATCAAAGGCAGTTGATCTGGGTTCCTGTTACTGAAACACCACCATCTCCGTGACTGCTGTTTTGTGCTTTTGGAAGTTGGTGAGGTTTATGTCATGGTAGTGTATTCTGGCAGAGAATATACCTTACTTTGTTTTTTTTTCTGTTGTATTTTGCCTGATATATTATAGAATTACCTTGTTTATTTCCCTCGAAATTTCTTTTGGGACTTTGATTGGAATTTTGTAACATGGGCAAATTGGTGTGAAGGAAAGCAAGATCTTTATTAATTTTTGTCTGTACAGAGGAGTTGGTCTTTTGTATTTCTCTGAAAATTTCAAGTTTTAGGTTTTTGGTATTTATTACTCGAATGCTCAGTATAATGGTTTAATCATGTACAATCAATAACATAAGGATTTTATCATTATATATTTTTAATTTGAATCACTCCTAATAATTTCAACCATAAAGTCTACTTTCAAATATTGATTTTCCTTTTGTTTAAATTTTATAGGTTAATTTTTGCCCAACATGTTTTTAAATGAAACTCCTGGTCTCTTAATTAACACAGATGTTTTAGTGTTATAGTTTCTACCTTTGATTTAATATCTAATATCCTAAACTTTGCCTTTTCAAAATGCTTACTTCCTATTAAAATGTACTATAATTTAGAAGATTCTGTTCTCACATTATATAAACCCATTTTAAATTCTAATAAGAGTTATCTTGAAACAGCTCACAAGGATTCTATCCTGTTTCATTATTTGTGCCAGGGGGTCTCAAAGGCTGTCCTGCTGTCTGTCCACTGTCACAAGGGTCTCCCTCGCGGGTTTTACACTGATCCTTGGTGGCAGGGCTTTGGGGTTCCTGAGGGTACCTGAGATTTGGCGTTCACGAAATAATAATAATCTGACATTGGCCTTTACTGGAGAAGCTAATTCATCCATGTCGGTCGCGAGTTTTTCTGAAATGCATTTATTTCTCTGCTCTCTGATTCCCGTTCCCCACCTTCATACCCTAGGTTCTTTTCTTCAGATAAAGTGAGGCTGGATTATTAAACTGGCTACAGAGTCTTACATCTTTTTTTGAAAGGGTCAAGATCGGAAGAAATAGAAAAGTTGCTGATTTATACATACTTTCCACTTAAAACTTTTTCCTTCTGTTGAAGAAAAGGAGTAGAGCTATTTTTAGCCACCTAGTATTTCATTTGTTTTCTAATTTTGTATCAACAATTATGCCAATTAGTGTGACTCATCTATAACAGCCCTTTCCTCTCCTTAGTATTTTTTAGCTACCTTTCAACATTTTCCATCAATTAACTACCTCTCTGAAATTTGATTCAGATTTCTTTTGTAAATTCCACCCCCCTCCCCCAAAGAAACCAGGTAATCAAATTACTATATCTGTGGAGATAAATTACACCCTGGTTGGGAATAAAATTTTTATTATAGACTTTGACCTTGAGGATTATTGCTTCAGTGTCATTTGTAGTCAGGAGGCAAATTTGATGAGATGTAGCTGGCCGTGCAAACGTAGTTGGGAATGGGCACGAGTTCTCTCCTGCCTCAAATACATAAAATTTGCCTCAGAATTTCTAGATGAGGAAGAGCCTTGACTTCCTTACAGCATATTACGAGGACCAATTTCGATAGGGCATTCATTACTCTTTTCAGAAGGAATATAAGCATTGTAGGGTTCTAAGTTGACAGGCAAATAGGTAAGTCGTAGTACAGTGTAGAATTAACAGGGAAGTTCGAAAAAAATTAACAGGGGACTCAGGGAAGAGTGATGAAGGCCACAGAGGTAAGATGATATGGGAAAGGGGTCCTGAGGATGATGCCTTGGGGTGAGGTGGTGCTGGACGAACGGGCACTCTAGGTGGGTGGAAGGGTATGTGCAAAACCTCAGCACAGCTGAAGGCCAGGAGAGCGGAGAAGCTCAAAGCGGAGGGCTGGTTGCGGTGGGCTGATCAGAGTGGCTCTGTCATGACGACTTCCGTCATAAGTTATTTCACCCTTGGCCCCATCTCAGGGAGCAGGGTTAGGGTATTCTTTGGAAGTGGATGAAAAATGGACTGAACCAGGGATGGACACCTAGCTCAAAAGGGGCTCCTCATCCATTGGTTGAGCAGGAATGCTAAGGTAGGCCAATAAAAAGGGTTTCACGCACTAGGGACTATGCTGGCTTCCCCACTGATTCAGGAGGGTGTGGTGAACTGCAGCAAAGAGAGCCTGTGCGGTCGCTGGGAGAGCAGAGAGAGCATGGCTATACCCTCAACCTGTCGTTCCAGTCCTGGGGACTCCCGAGTCTAGCCTATGTAGTACCTCCTCCAAGGCAGCCTGTGTGAGCCTCTTCCTGAGAGTCAGAATGGCTTAATCACCATGTCAGGCTCCAGATCAGAGAGATGCAGAAGAGAGGTGACTCTGAAAATAAATTCTGAGCTTGAGTCAAGTAGGAGGGACTAGTTTATCAACTCTCAAAGAGGGATTCCCTAAAGAAGCGGACAAGGGTGCTTTCCTTCTTACCAATCATTGTTTTTATTAATATATTTTACAAGACTGCAGTTGAAATAATATTAAATACAAATTTTTTTATACAGAAAGTGTAATAGTTAAAATAGTTCCTTGTAATTCATAGCATTATTGCAATGCTTACAAAATTTTTGCATAGAGTGTGCAAGGATTGATGTTATTCAAAAGAAAAACATAACTAAGCTCTTTCTTACACCACACCCAAACCCGGAGAAAAACCAAACCAAAAATACTCCAAAGGCTGAACTTAATTACTTTATGGGAATGGGGTGCCTTTTTCAAAATCTCCAAGCAACTTGGACTTCTAGGACCTCAGCTTTTCTGTTAAAAGCCCCAGAATCTGGCTTCTCCAGGAGTGTGTCTCACCCGCACAGCAATGCACGGCCTCTACCTTCCCTTCTGCAGTCTGACCTCCTTGAGAGGTCTATGTCTGCTTCTTTGTGGCCTTAGACAAAGAAACCGTTGACTGGGGAGGTAGGTAGCAAGGAAAACTCCGTTACCCCCTCAGCCAAGCACTGGACACAAATGAGGTTAATTTAGGTTTGTGGACCCTTTCCTCTGCTTCGCCAGGTGCCATCTCTACCAAGGAACCTGATCTCCGGCTCTGGAGGTGGTAGTTCCATGAGACCCCTTCAAGGTACCCGTTCCTGACAGGCCACTGGGATGCACATACCGTTAAAAGAAAACCCCTGGATGACTTACCCTAAAACAGGGTCTCTGATGCTTTTGTGCTCGTCCCTTTACTGGAGTTTTAGGAGGCAGCGGAGCCAGGTGGGCTCTACGGGACCCTGGCTGGCACTGGGACTAGGTCTGTCAGGAGCAGTGACAAGCTCTGTCCACACCACCCAGTGGGCCAGATACGTGCTGCTGAAAAAGCACAGAAAAGCAGGATGAGCCCCCGTCTCTTTCCCGTTTGGTCTATCAGCTCTGGGCGAGGGCAGGTCCACAGCCGGGCCTTACCACGGGCAAACTGGTGGATGACCTGTTCGGATAGTCACTGGCTGAGTTAATGCTTCAGGATGCTTTCAGGTCTTTGAATTCTTACAGATCAAACCCCGATCTTTTTGCTTAGAAGTTGAAAGTGGCCCAAAGCCACCAAGTTGTAAAGAACTTCAGATGTACTCATCTCCTTTAGTAGTTGGAATGCCCTCAAGTTCATTGCTGAATTCAGGACACCCCATGTACAGTGCATGGGTACAGGGTCAAAGGGTGCCACCATTTAAACAAGGGTTGACAAATCGTCCCTTTTCCAACCCAGATCAATTGAAAGTGCCAGCCTGAGTGCTTTGGTGAGAAGTTCCTGCACGTGGGGAGGGGCATGGCCTGCTTGTGAGGACTGACGAGGTGCAGGGCCAAGGCCACTGGCGGAGCCCAGGCGGCCGGGTTGGGTACTGAATGGCGGCTGCGGATCGAGTTCTTGCTAGTCCTGTATTCTCGCAGAGAAACGGGCACAGTAATAGAGACTGAGCTCCCTTCTATTTGATTCTTTTTTTTGAGTTTTGCTACAAGTAAAAGTAGGGAAGCACGACAACGAAATGGTGTCAAAGACCTCCCCTAAAATAAGACACTTGTCTTTTGGACTGAGGAACCGGGGAAGGTGATGTGCGTGTGAGGAAATGCTGACTTGGTCAGCCACACCCAGAGACTGCGCAGCATTACAATTTTCTGTTAGATGTAAAGCTGACAACCAGGGGTCTTCCAGTTTGCAGGGATAAGAAGCCTGACTTAACAAGGACCACATACAGAGCGAACTGATTTTCTCTTTTTGGTCTCAGATTCTACCCAGACTGACCTCCTAATATTTTCACCTCATGCACCTGCACTCCCGTACCGGGTGCTGTCATGGGCAAGAGATTACAGAACGATGGGAGATGTAAGACGTATAGCTTCGTCTCCCCGACATGGCCTAGTCTAGAAGTGGGTAGGAGACATTCTTCCACGTCACCTGACAAATAGTTGGACACGCTGGTGCCTTCACAGCACAGTGGTCTGGAGGGGGTTCCCGTTCCAGCTCTGCCATTTTCTAGCTGGTGGCTTCGGGCAAGTTTCCTAACGTCTCTCAGCCTCAGTTTCCATCTCTGCGTATTGGAACAATGTTAGACTCCACCTCAAAGGATTATTTTGAGGATGAAATGGTGAATGCATGTCAAACACTAAGTGCTCGATGAACATTTAGAAAAATTAGCACTGTAATCGGAAAATAGAATCCAACTCTTGTCATATCTTAGATTTGGTTTTGGGTCCAAGAAGGCCTATTTGATTTTATGCAAAACTGCTAGGGCATGCTTTTCTTTGGGGAGAGGTCCAGAGCTGCGCTCTGATTCTCCGAAGAACGTACAACCCTCAAAACGCTAGAACCCTATGGATTTGATGAAATGGGGGCTAAAGAAACACCAACAGCTTCCTTGCCAACAAATATCATCTTCCTGCCCCAAGACAATTCTCTGCTATTCTGCTCCGACGTAACCTCAGTGATTCCCTTGGAATTTCTCACGTTATGAAATCCATGTTATCTCTCATTTCACCAGAATGACCTAAATGCAGAAATAGGCTGTGAGGACATTGGAAGAAGAGGGACCACGAGACAAGTCGAGGAGTAGGAATGCAGAATCGAGTTTGGGGAAGACAGATGGTTCCTTCTCTTCCCCCAAAGTGGACAGCCTCGTGTGTGTCCCATTTACCTAACTTCAGCTAATGCTCTGGGCAGACACGCAATCCCCTCCCTCGCCAGTGAGGCTGGCTGGCTGGCTGGCTGGCTGGCTATGCGGCTGAAGAGACATTCTGGGGACACCTCTCTGGCTTCCTACCATCACAGGTGCATTTGGACCCTATACACTGTTCTTGCCTCCACATCCTTTGTTCTATTCCACTGGCAAGCCTCATGCAAGTGGGACTGGTCTTACCACCTTCTGGGCTGGAGTTGAGTTAGCATTGTTGGCAGTGTGTCTGAGACTTTTTTTGATGGATTTGATAACATCACTAATATGTTAAGACATCAGGCTTCCTGTGCCATCCAGGGCTCACAGTATTCTCGAATTGCTTTCTTCTCTCAAAGGAAGATGCTAATTTCCTACCCTGTCAGTATCTATAAAAGGAACCGAGGTAAAAACAAAAGAAAATAGTCTATGTGAGCAGGGGTCACCCCAAATGGGCTATTTTCTTTTACACTTGTGCTCTGACAATACGCAAAGCGAGGACCTCCCACCGATGATTATTTTTCCCTTTGCCATTCAGATCTGCCTTGAGAAATTTCAAGGACTCCATTATGAAGACAGCTTCTAAGAACCATAGAAATCACATTGCTTTTGAAAGTGCCCGTGCGGGTGGTGGGCTGTGCTGGCGGAAGCAGCAGGCTTCAGACCGCTTTCTCTCTTATCAGCGGTTTCTCTTTGTGAATGAGAAATTCAGAGGCAACTGTATAATTTTAAATTCCGATTACCACAAAGAAAGAAATGCATCTGACATCCCAATGCAGCGGCTTTGACTATTTTAATGGAAATATGCTGGAAGTGGGGGGACCTTCCACCGAAGAGAAGATGATGAAAGGCCCAGAGAAAGACATTTTATATTGGAGATAAAAGGCCTGTTTTCTAAGGTTGTTTCTTTTAACTTTCCCCGCAACCTGCTGCTGGGGCACCATGCAAATGTGTCATCGCAGGGGCTGCCGTGTTACCCTCTTTGTGCCTCGGATTCCCTGGCGCAGGAGAAGGCTAGAGAATGGGTCTCGTTTACAACTTACTCTAACGAGCTTTTCACCTTTCACAGAGCCTGAAGAATAAGGTTCAGGTGCTCAGGTGAATATGTTTACCTCTTTTGTCCAAGTAGCATGCTACCGTTTACCTAAAAAAAACAAAAGCAAGACATTCTTGTCTAGTTCCTCCTGTGACAGGCAGGGCTGCCAACTGAATTTCCTTTCGGTTGAATCCAGATAAAACGCTCAGGGATCCCTTGGGTGGTGCTGATTAGGGTCTGGTAAATGGTGGTGGTTTTCACTGAGGTGAAAAAAAAAAAAAGAACCTTTCCTCTCTGACACGATACTCAGTTTACAGAGGCTCTCTCATACCGATTGCTATTCCGACAACACTGGATAGGAGTGTAAACCCTGGGTTGGCAGGAGGGGTGTTGACGGAAGGGACGAGCCTCTGGTGGGAACCCGCCTCACCGCCCAGGCCCAGCTGCGGAGTTCAGAACCGTCTTTTTTGGGCTCCTGCCACACCAAAGCACCAGGGCCCAGGTCCGTGGACCCAAAAATCAAACTGAATTACTGTCTGGCAACAGCTTCATGGAAGACTTGTACTCCATTTTTTTTTCCCCTTCCTATGTATTTCAAGATGCATTTTTCCATATTTCTAATTACTGGTTGGTCTCACCAGCCCTTCGGACCCGGGGTGGTCAGAGGGGAGTAGGCAGGCCGGAGGTGAGTGACTGCGGTGGCAATGCCAAGTCAAACCATCGTCTGGATGGGCATCGCCAGGGGACGGGCATCTGTTGGGAACATGGGAAGGTGAGGCGAAGCCTCTTGGTAGAGATCGCAGAAACAGTCTCCTCAGGGAGGAGATTCTAAGGTTAAATCACAGGACCCTGCTTCACGTCTTGCCACACGAGCTACAGATGGGAGGTGCCTCCCTCCTGTTTACTGAGGGTCCAAGGAAAGAAACTCTTGGACGATTACAACTTTCCTTTCCATCTTCCCCATAGCCCTAGCCTCCCTGCGAGCCTGCACTTCTCAGACAAGTGGGTCCCCCCTCTTTTTTTACACAGTATAAGGCTAACCTCTTGTCTATAGCCAAGTGTTTATGTTTCCAAGCACACGTGGACATGTAGGCTTACTCTATGCTGCCGTGAAGTCTGCTTCCTTTGCTGCCGTGTCCAACACATGCCATACATGACCTCTACATCAGGGGTCAGCAAACTTTTTCTGTAAAGGCCAATTAGTAACTGTCTAATGCATTGTGGGCCATGGGATCTCTGGCACAGCTACTCCACCCTGCTGTTACAGTAGGAAATCGGCCATAGACAACATGCGAATCAACGGATGTGGCTGTGTTACAATAAAACTTTATTGACAAAAACAGCGGATGAGCCAGATTTGGTTGAGGGGGCCACAGTTTGCTGACCCCTGCTCTGGAATCAAACCTCAAGCAATCTTTGGTCTGCGGTTGCGGGACGGACAACCAAAACGAGCCCGAGGAAGAAGACTGATGTAAAAGAAAGGAAAACCAATTCAAGCTGGGAAGATCTCTTCCTTGGGTGACAAAATTAGAGCACCTCCTATCAAGTTGCCAGCTACACAGATGCCACCAGAGGGCTTTTGAAACCCTCTATCACACGCTCCCAGTTTCCCAAGGCTGAGCCTTTATGACCTGGTGCTAAACAGACATAGTGCTAAGCCTCTCTGGAGATCAACTTTTCATTTTTAAAACTCTTCTGAAGAATATGAACCTACTAGAACTTCAAGAATATTACAACTTCACTTGATTTGTTTCTTATGCCACCCACTGCACTGAAGGCTGTGATTGTCAGGAAGACATTATAAAAATTAGAAAATAATCTCATTTTTAAAAATTAAAGGTTCTCAGATTTTAATGTAAAAGATATATTTCTCCCCCCAGAATTCAGGTAAAACTTTCTCTCGTGACCATGGACGCATATTCTAGTTGAAGGAAGTAGGGAGTAAAAAAATACATTGAAGAACTTAGAATGCATTTTATCAAATTCTAAAGTCTAAACCAAAATACATAATGTAATCCGTGCCAGATTTCCTGCTCATTCATCACCTCGTGTATTATGTTCACTTAGCACAAATGACAATTGGGACTTTATATCATGTCTGTCCCCCATAGGTGCTTGGTTTCTATTCTTGGCTGCTATCATTATTTCTATTTTATCTGTGATCTGAATACCTTTAGGATAAACTTTTCTAAGCGGGATCACACCAGTCTTTTTACTGGTATGAAATTCCCAAGGCGCTCATCTCCAACTTCCAGGTAATGATTAGGCCCAAATCAGAGGAAAGAGGTTCAGGAACCTTTTGTGTTCTTGTCGCCTGTGGATTGTGTTGATTGTGGAGAAGGGTGGTGCGCCTGTTGGAAAAAACTGTGTATCATGGTATTCAGCCACCAAGGACCTTGCAGCCACTCTTGTTTATCTGAACGACGTGGGGGACACGCTCGCAGCCGCAGGGAGGGCCTCTCCTGGCCTGGCAGAGCCCCGTGTGTGGTACATGCAGACTCCGGCTGTGTGATCCTACAGGATACAGGGAATACTGATGCACAGCAACCTGACACCTTTTTGGAGTTTTCTTGCTTTGATCCAACTGCAATAAACTAAGCAGTCTCATGATCTTGCCCTTGAACAACCCAATTCTTCTCTAGGGGGCGCTGAGCAGCAGGGACTAGAGGGAGCCTGGGGTCTGGAAGCCCGCAGGGCCGTGGTGCAACCAGAACCACCCCTCCTCCCCCTACGTCCGAGGGACTGAGCACACGCAGCTTGCTTTAACCTCCATGTGTACAAACCGCAGCCCAGCGCCTGAGTGGCAGCTCATAGATAGCCAACCTCTTCTTTTTTTAATTTCCTAAGACAAATCTCACCCTGCTTGTGAAATAAGAACAAATTAGAACCTTGTCGAAGGAAAAAAATAAAAACAAGAAACAAAAGCCATTCGGGCCTATAAAGACCACTTCATTTCGGATCGTGGGGCCAGTCCCGGCTGAGTGGCATCGAGGACTGTCTGTGCCAGGCGTGTCTCCGTTCTGTGCTCCTCGGGCTCCCCGTCTGCAGCCACTTGGCCGGCCGACCTGCTGTTGAGACGCCCAGTCATCACTGAACCATTCCCCTCCGATCACCCGAAATAAACTACAGGAAATGACAAGATAAATAGGATGTGCTTCTCCTTGCTGAGTGCATTGACTTAAGGCATAGGCACATTTCCCCCTCTTTGAACAGAGATGGTGTAATCCCCTGTCCCAGCACAAGAGCTGGCCAGGGTGACCCTGGAGCATGACGATGAAGACGGAGTGATGGGTGGTAGCTGATGGCGGGAATTAGAGAGCTGCTTCCTTCCACACGTGGGGGGTGGGGTGGGTGCTGCTGGGTGGGGGGGACACAGTGATTCTGATAAAGATACTTGACTCAGTTTATGTTACGTTTCAGTGAGCATGTCTAGGGGGGAGGCATGTAGTACTTTAGATCTGTTTTTCTTGGAGAAAACATAATGGTGGATTTAGGAATACGAATATCCCTACATTCATAACAGAGCAAGTCGGTGTGTGCATGCCTTTAAAAATAAAAGGCATGTCTCTAAATTACCTGCCAATCCCAAGAAACATATAAAAATAATTAGGTTCCCGAAGCTACTCTTCGACTTTCATCTCCAAACGGCTCCTCTTGGGGTAGGGGTCCCCTTCTTGTTAATTTTGACTGATCCAATTATTCTGAGTTGGAGTCTATTGAATAAGTCAGAAGTGAGGACAGAACAGACTTTGAGCCTTTTTTCCTCTTTAAACAGAGATACATTACCCATTTACTCTTTGCCTGTGAGGTCACTGAGTAGCTTCCAGCCGACAGAGGAGTGGCTGTTATCCCGCTTTGTGCTGATTTATAACTCCGGTTTTGACTGGGGGATAACATGCGAGTTTGAAAGAAGGAAGAGAGCGGGAATTGGGTGAGAAGTTCATGCTTTGCTAAAATTCACCCTCCTCACTCACCCAACTGCACAAGCGCCCAGACATTTGACTGACAAGGAAGAACAGCCATTTCGAGCGTGTATGGCTGAACTGCCCCGCCCACAACGTGAAGAGGGAGAAGGTGGTCAGCCTCACTGAAGCTGCAAAAGGAAACCCAATGGTCTGTTTTTAGTTTCAAGGTTGCAGCACTCGGGCATGACTTGGAGATTCCCGCCATCACTGCCCTGTAATGACACTAAAAGAGGAGATATGCTGTTACTCAAAGGTGTAGATGAATTTTTGGTAAGTGTCCGAGACACTGAGTGATTTTTGAAGGGTCCAGGGAATGCGGAGCCTGAATTAGTGTTTTGATTTTTATCATGTAGGTGGTGGTGGGGTGGGGATGGAAATGACCGGATATCCAGGGTCACCCATGGTTCCTTTTGTACTGAAACCTCATTTTATACAGAGGATATATATATTTATTTATATATATTTATATATATTTATATCCACCCACACACGCAAACACACTCACGTGTAAACGCACGCACGCACGCACACACACAAGGTCTTTGATAGGCTTTCTGTGTTCTAGTAAAAATAGCCGGCAGCCAGCGTCTAAAGCCAGAAAAAGGCCTTCCACTGCCGACAGTGTCCTCTGTAGAGAGTCTCTCAAAGGCAGACACTTGTGTTTATCTGACAAGTGGAACCGGTCCCTGCCTGGGACAGGAATAATCTCCCGTTGGCGCAGACGCAGATCTCGAAGACCTTCTGCCTCGCTCCTGTGGGCGTGTAGGATCCGTGAGGCAGTCTAGGTAGTTTGATTTTCGCAGCATCTAACTTAATCTAGAGAGAGTGAATAGGAAGGGAGAGTTAGAGGCTGGCATGGATTCTCCTGACGTTCAGACATAACTGATGAATGTTCAATTCAACTTAAATCAAATGAGCACATACTGTGCATTGAATAGTGTAGGCCCTGGGCACTCGGAGATGAACAAGACCAGAAGGCTCTACCCTCACAGAAGCTTCTATTCTAGCAAGACAACGGTGCACTGACAATGTTGTACAGATTAGCGTTTTGCGAGAGTGTATCATGTAGAATGTGCGTTGAGTCCCAGAGTGAAACGAGGTTGGAAATGCTAGCTCAGAGGCCTTCTCAGACCCTAAGTATGTCGGTGTGCATGGCGAGTCTTCAAGAATATCCAGCACTTTCAGGGCGTGACTGTTACGAGACAACCGACTCCTGCAGAACCTGGACTCTGGTCGCTTTAACTGCACCTGATGTAGTCACTGTGTTAAGTGTGAGTGGCTTGGAGTTTGTGGCTGTTGGAAGGGACAGGTTGATAACTGAACGCTCAGTCTGACCAGCTCTTTTAAAACAGATGCAGCAGGTGTGGAAGCAATGAAAAGCCGGGCTTGGTGTACAGAGGCAGCTCAAGGCTGATCATCTCTCAGGAGCTTTGAAAAGTAGAATCGAGTTTTGCTTTAAAAAAGGAAAACGCATTTTTTTCTCTTCTTAAGATTCTTAAATAGAAAACTTTGCTTATGAACACAGTGAAGGCACTGAAAAAGTTTGCTGCTGAATCATGTTTTCTTCACGTTGCTTGCAAAAACACAAGCAGCCGTTCTGCTCATCAAAGTGGGGTTGCATCGGGGTAAGAGTGGATGTTCGCCATCTGTCGCCCTCCTGTTGCCTGGTCTGTTGAACCTTTGGCTTGTCTGAGTTGGGGTGGCTTTGGAGCTGACGCTGCATGCTCAGTGAAAGTAGAAACGTGCAACATAAACTTTACAAATGACTACAGGTACGTTAAGTTCTTCTTTAGCCAGATGTGTGTATGATATATACCTTAATTTGCTAGCTACCTAAATCTTATTTTAAGGTGACAGGAGACAGGATTTGGAAATAGCAATCATCTTTACGGCCATATGTATTATCCTATACTTGCAATACATGCTGTTTTCTCAGCATCTTACAAATAGTGACTCATACTTTTTATGTGTTGTGGGTTTGGCTTATCACAGTCCCGCCTGACGTATCTGTTTCAGAATAAAACCTTCTGGTGGGCCCCTTCCGTTGGTACAGTGCTGGCTCAACTGCAGTGGTGAAGGGAGGACAGCTCGGTTTCAGGAAAGGCTGGCTTGCTGTAGCCGCGTCTCTCTGGGGCCCTGCCCTCCTCTCCCCTACCTCTCCCCTACCTCTCCATCTTTGGACTCCAGTCTCAGCTCTGTTCTGCAGGTGGCCTCCATGTTGCCGGCTTCTGCATTTATTTCTACTCCCTTTGGGGCCTCCATCACCAGAGACCGGGTCGGGGACTCCAACCTGAAATACACAGAAAGCTAAGATTAAAGACCTCATTTCGGCGGTGTGTAAAATTTAAGAGGAAGTTTGATGTCCAGAGCACTGAGTCAGCACTTCAGTATTTGATCCGCAAAGTCTCTAGCTTTGATAAACAAACCTGGAGAAGCGGATGAGGGAGAACCTCTCTGGGCTTACCATCAGTGCATATCACAACGGCTGTACGGAGGGAGTCCGAGGGTCCTGACTTCCTCTTATCTCACCCCCGGTCGGTCACTGCTTCATCGGTAAAGCTAACCAAGTTCCTATGTGAGTTTTCTGTATTTTTAGAGTACGGCAACCCCAGGCCTACACTGAGCTTCCTAGACCTGGGAGGTATTCCTGGTACTCGGTCCTGCTTTCTGTGTCTCCCACGGAGGCAGAGAGACGTACCTGGACTCAAGCCACAGGGCTGCCCCTGCCGGACCTTGGGCAACCTTGCTTGCTTCCCCTTTTCCCCCTTTCTGAAAGTTCTCAAAGCCTCTGTTTCCTCACTTATCAAGTACTTCAAACAGTGGCTGGCATGTTGGAATGCATAATACTGATGTTCACTGCTGTTCACTGCTGTTAATGTTGTTATACTACCAGCAAATCACAAAGCAATTTCAGGCCTTGCTTGAACAGATTTGTCAGAAGAAAATTCGGAACAGCTCAGCGGCCGGAGGGGTTTGGAGAGGGGCAGTGAGTTCTCTGCAAAGCGACAGCACCAGGAGACGGGTCCCAGTCACACAGCTGCTCTGCCCTTGACTGCAGTGGGGGTTACACGTCTCTGCGAGTTTGCGGGCACTCACACAGCTGCAGCCCCGAAAGGGTGCGTGAATGTTATTGCAGGTAACTTATCATGTTAATCATTCTCACAAAACAGAGGCTAATATCCTTAGAGTATGTTAGTTAATTACTGTGTGTTAAATTAAAAACAGAGGCTAATACTCCTTAGAAAGATTTTTGCCTAACTCACTTCGTGTGAAAATGTTATCCACCCACTGAATAATCACCCGTTTGAGGTTATTACCAAACACAAATGAATGAAGGGCCTCCCCTCTGTCTCAGAGAGAGAAGATGTCCCAACTCAGGAAGCCAGGGCCTCAGCGTGGCTCTCTGGCTGCTCTGATGCAGACCCATGTCCTGCGTTCCTAACTTTCAGACACTTAAAAAAAAAATTCTCACCTGAGGATATGATTACTGATTTGAAACAGAAAGAAACATTGATGTGAGAGAGAAACATTGACTGGTTGCCTCCTGTTCGCACCCTGGTCGAACCCACAACCTTTTGGTGGACAGGGCGATGCTCCAACCAACCGAGCCCCTGGCCAGGGCACTCTGAGACACTCTGCACGTGTTAAAAAGGAACATGGCCCTGTCTGCCAACTGCTGACTCCCTCCTCTGCCTCCCACCCGCCCTGTGCCTCAGACAACCCCCCTTGGGCTTCACCGGTGGCAGAAGGAGCCAGCTGACCAGTGGGGCGTCACCACTGAGACCCACGCCACCTTCCAGAGGTGCTGAGAGAGGGCTCCTCCTCACTGCCACAGGCCTGGGTTCCTGAGGTGTGCTCCCGGGCAGCAGGCTCCTCCACCGACTTTTCTGTTTGCCCTGCAGGGCCTCAGCCAGAATCAGAGGGAGCCTGCAGGTCCGGAACTCGTAGACGGGCGCGCTTGGATTCTCTACAGCTCGTTCCTTCCCTTCTGCCGTCCCCCTCTGGGTGCGGCAAAAATCCCCCCAGCCCTGCCTTCTCCTCCTGGCAAGACCTCCGCCAGGCAGTGCTGGCGGTGCTGGTTCAGGTGTGGCTCTCCTTGGAATTAGGGTTCCCCTCTTCTGCACGTGGTTTTTCCCAGTGTAACATCAGTACCAGGAGGGGTCTCGTTACCCGAGCAACAGGGCGTGCTGCCCTGCAGGGCAGCCTTGCCCGCCCACCGAGTCCCGCTCACCCAAGCTCCTCCCGCACTCTGGACTGCTCTCACTTCTGAAATTAGAAGACGGTGTTGCATCTTGTTTTTTTCTATCCTGTAAGGTCTGACTGACTGGACCCAGTTTATCCTACTTTTTCTAACGTCTTCCATTTTCACTAACGTTTCCCCCTCTGGCCTGATTTTCCCTTCTGGTGATGTTGCCTGCTCACCTCCAGCTGTGCCCACACTCCGCTCCATGGTACGGCTGCCGCCCACCTCCCCCGGGCCACAGGCCCCACGCCATCTCCGTCCCCTCCTCCCTCCCTCATCTCATCTGTCAGCTCCCAACTTCTCGCAGTCAGTACACCGGTGCATCTCCGACCTGGGCTGTTCCAACCGCCTCACAGGTCCACTCTCCCACCGTTCCTCTTCTCCACTGCACTTCACACCCAAGTACGCCTTCCGAAAGTGAGTTTTGAGTGCGACACTGTTCTTATCAAAACTTCCACAAGTTTCCCAGAGAAGATCTGACCTTCTGAGTTGACTCAGCCATTGAGAACTTGGTCTGATGTCCTGTTAGTTTCATTTCTTGCCACAAACGTCAGCTCTGTTTTACCAAGAACATACTAGGTAATGGACCCCGTGCCAGCTGCGTCATACGTGGTATCTCATTTAATCCCCACACAGATCCTGTGACTTTGCTTTTCCTGCGATCCCGACTGTACAAACAAGGGAACCCGGGTAAGCAACTTGCTCTGGGTTATACGTCTAGTAAAAGGGCAGAGCCCAGATTCAAGTTCAAGGTTAGTGGACACCAAAGCCAGTGCACTGACCACGCTACCATACCACTTCCAAAAGGACTGAACTTCTTTCCCATCCACCATATCCTCATGTTGTTCTTTGTCACGGACACCGCCTCTTTCTTCATGGAATTAGCCCCTGTAGTCCCAAACCAGTCCGTATGTAAAGGTCAGGAGATGTACTCTGTACACATGGCTCAGTGAGGCATGCTTCCCGGGGTGCCACATTACCCGTGACTTATTTAAACGGTTGGCAGCGGTGATATCAAATTCAGAATATGGTGCGTGTGTTCACATTTGGTAGGCAGTATGCAAAGTGAATGATCCATATCAAAAAACAAAAACAAAAACCAGTTGCTGTGGGGAGAAAGACCTTGACAGGAGAAAAAAATCTGGAGCTTGGAGAAGTTTATCAGGTGGTGTGGGCATTTCAGACAGGCCTTGGAATTCACTTTACTCTTGCTCACTGCCTGTGTGGGCTTTGAGATCAGCAGGAGACCCCACCAAGGCCAGAGTGGATGCCAACCGACGACTACCTTTGCCCCTCTCAGCCCTGGGAGTGCGAGGGTGCTGAGCCAGGGAGCGGCTCTGAACCTGCCTCCTACTGTGAAAGGCTTCCAAAAGGTAGACTATGGAGGAAGCAGAGACTAGAGGTAACTGGCTTTCATCTTAACGATGTTAGGTGTTGTTGACAGTTTACTCACATGCTAATCATTTCTTTGTGATAAAAGGTCTTGCTGGAGCCCTGTGGGGTCAGCAGAGAGCAGACAAAGCACTCCCAAAGCGAGCCAATCAATTCCTGATCACAGATTACCAGTCCCACAACACAGCAGCGGCTCACTGGGCATTGGCATGGAGCAAGGAAAAAGGGAAGGCGGCTTCCTCCTGGTGGCTCTGGGAAGAGCACTGCTTCCCTTAGGAGAGAGTGCAGCTCTCCTGGGGGAGGGCTGAAGTCACTCAGAACGGGAAAATGGGCAGTAAGGGAGGTGACCTGGCTGAGCCACAGCTTCAGGAACAATGGTCCTCAGAGGCATCAGAATCCCCTGGAGGGCTTGCTAAAGCAGATTGCTGGGCTCCCTGCCCCAGCTCTGATGCCCTGGGGCTAGGGTGGTGCCTGAACACTGGCACTTGTGACAGGTTACCAGGTGATGCTGAAGCTGCTGCTGGACCACCCTTTGAGAGCTACTGCTCTCTGGCACGCACAAGGGTTAGGCAGGTGACGTAAATGAAATGCAAGAGCCCCAAGGGAGCTGTGAGGAGGACCACAGCCTCCGGACAGCAATATAGGGCAAGTGATGGGGACGCTGTCTGTAGGGGCAGCTGCTATCCTAATCTGTCCCACTGTGGCCAGAACTTCTGATTAAATATTTTTTAAAAATTTTATTCTAAATCGTTCCATTTTTGGAATTGATGCAAAATCAAGATTTCTGAAAATATTAATATGGTATAAAGACCGACAATGTAATGAGCCTTGCATATGCACCATCCTTTTTAAGGAAGATGTTGTCACCTTTGGAATGCCCTGAGCTCCTCTTCCCAATCCCATCCATTTCCTTCTCTCAAGGATAACCGCTCCAGGGGATCAGGGTGTACTGTTCCCTTGCCTTTCTTTAGGAGATGACTACACTGCATTTGCCCCCTTTAACAAGATTGTCTGCCGTGGCATGTTTTTGACTTTACACACAGAATAATTCCACGGAGGTGTTCTTTAGTGACTCGCAGGTTTCTCCCTCTCAACATTCTGTTCCTGAGATGCGTCTATGTGTACAATTTCCCTGGTGCTGTCTTCCCTTGTGATGTTATCTGTCCATCCTTCCGTCGGACAATCAGGTAGGTTCCAGGATTCTGTTTCTATAAACTGCATCTCCACGCACACTTGCACACAGGTCCTAGTGCATGTTTGTAAGTTCTCTTCAGGACACACGTGTGAGGAGTGCAGTCCCTGGCTTCTAGGATAAGCATATCTACAGCTTTGTTAGGTACTTCCTCACTAGAAGGGTAAAGGGTTCTGCTGCTTCTACTTTCTTGCTCGCTTTTGATATTTTTAAACATGAAATGAGTATGAAACGGGACGCTATTGTCTTTTAAATGTGCATTTCCAGATTAGTAATGGAGTTTAGCATCTTTTCATTTGTTTGCAAGCCATTTGGGATTCTTCTTCAGTGAGACGTCTTTTGTCTGTTTTAATTGCTTTTGTTGTTGTTTTGTGTGTGTAAATTACAGCAATACTTTATTCTGAAAAATAATTATTTAGTAGTTCTCTGGATTGACAGTTTCTTTTGAGTCTGTGCTTTGTCT